TTTTTTTAGTTTACTCAGTTTAGTTAGTTTACTTTTATATGTATCAAATGATCTTTCTTACAAACGTACTTATTGCGATGTCTTTTCTTAGTTTACTCAGTTTAGTTAGTTTACTTTTATATGTATCAAACGTTCTTTCTTACAAGCGTGCTACATGATACTCTGTATTTATTGCGATGTCTTTTCTTAACTTACGTAGTGTTGCTTATCTATTATTATTAGTATTAATGTTCTTTCTTATACCTTACAACTTATTTTATATCTAAGCGTCTTTATAAAATTATCACAACTCACCACCTCTTCAAAGTGAGTAGGTTACTACTTTTCTGTACCTTTCTACATCCAGTTCGGAAATGTGTAAGAACAGGATGTCTCTTTACTGTGTCCACGGCTCTATGATAACCAGGACAATAATAAATACTATTCAATCAATCAATCTCTCTCTCTCTCTCTCAGATTCTAGCTCGCTGTCTCGCTCGCTTTCAGCGCGCCGAAGGGGAACAAGGAGAGTACTTAGGCGACAAGACAGAGCAATAGTCGTCACGCTTCTGCTATCAAGTTACACGTACACGAGCTTGTGCTTGTGTGAGTGCTGCCTGTTGTGCCAGGCCGCCGACCAATAGCGCTAGTCCCGATGGCGTAAACCGGCTCCGAATTGGCATCCCTGCACCAGCTCCTAGAATACACTTCAGTGCTCCGAAAACCGTTTCCGCGACTCGCTCGTTCCGACGAACCTAGGGAGTAGGGCGTACTCTGCCTCTGTCAGGCGTTCTCGGCCGCCGGACAACCGCTGTAACTACTTCCACGATCGTCCGCTTATTCTTTTTCCTTATTTCGAATTTTCCTTCCCGATACTCAGCATTCGAAAGGGGGTAGGGCGCTCTCTTCCTCTGTAGGGTGTTTTCGGCCGCTGAATATCGGATCCATTTCCTTACTTCAGCCATTTTTCGAATTACGCGAATTTTTCGAGTGCCGCGAGATTCTATTTGCTGGCGTATATCCGCGTTTCACCGCGTTGTAAATCACCGCCTCGCACGGCCCTCGCCGGCATCACCGCGAATCAGCGAATCGCCGAAGAAACTAGCGACGTCAGTAGGACCGCCTAGTCGTACTGTACGGATTTGTACAATCCGTAGTAAACACCTCTGACCGCCGGCCGATTTCGCTCGACCTGACAACTACTAACACCTCGCGACTTCGTTTATATATACTTCGCGCCTAGATTAAGCTCCGTTACATGTATAATTGTCCGCGTCCGCCACATTTATATTTCGTTGCATATTATATATTTTTCTTGTATATTTCGTCCTTATATCTTCTTCTCGTTGTACTTATTTTCTATTTTACTATTGTAATAAAACGTGTTCGTTGTGCTCAACTTTTATTTTATTTTATTTTATATTATACTCTACTCTTTGTGCCACCGATTCGAAGCGAATATCTCCTCCTGCCGAACCTTTTTCTGCGATCCGTACTTACAAGTTAGACCGCGCATAAAATCAGGTTGTTACAGCGTGTTTATTATAGGAATATTTCTGATTTTCACGATTGCATTCCAATCGATCTCTTACAATAGCTTCATCCACTTGATTTTTCCTTAACATTTCACTATTGGTAGGTAATCGAGTTTTAATGCGTCGACCAAAGAATAATTGTGCCGGCGACAATTGTATGCTAGCTACGGGTATTATGTTATACTCGAGCAGTCGGTATTGATAAAGTTCAATTTCATTGGATTCATAACAGCGTTAAAGAATATTCTTTGTTATGGCCACCCCTTTTTCGGCTAATCCATTGCTTAGGGATAACGAGGGCTCGAGTATTTAAACACAATATTTGTATCGTTAGCAAACTTTTCAAATTCTAGCGAGTTAAATGGATTATTATCACACCTGATTTCCGATGGATATCAATAACGATAGAATATTCCGTGAAGACAATTTATGATGTGATGAGAAGCTTTGCTTTTAACTTGTTCAGAACAAATAAATCCCAAATAAGCATCTATAAGTGCTATGAAATTAACGCCTGCATATTCGTACAAATCAATAGCAACACGATGGAAAGGGTATTCGGGCTGACTGTCTTGTTTGAGTGATTCCTTCTGATTATTTCGTGTAAACTGTTCACATACAGTACATTTCTGGATCATTTCTTTGATGTCATTGGTCATATCAGGCCAAAAAAAAGTGTTCTCTTGCTCTAGCCAAAGTCTTCTCAATCCCAAGATGAGGGGCATGCACCCATTTGCATATTTTTGACTATAGTTCTGTAGGTATGACTAATCGATGTTCTTTAAATAGAAGACTCTTTTCAAAATGTAATTAATCCTTAAATCAATGATGAAATGTTTGAGAGTTCATTAAGTTTATGATACGGTGGCCAACCATTAACGACATATCCTACCACCTTTAGGTATCGTTTATCCGCATTTAATGTGCTCTTGTAGAACTTGTAGTTTTCTTCGGAAAGGCATATTCGATGGACAACAGCATGAATGATTCCGGATAAATCTAACGTATCTGCGTCCGCAACTTCTATAACTGCGCGTGACAAGCAATCCGCAACACACATCTCCTCACCAGGAACATATGTGATCGTTAGTCCTGTGTATTTAAGTAAATGTAGGAACATGTGTTGCAATCTGGGAGTTACATCATTAATGTCGCTTTATAAGTGTTTCAAGCGGCTTGTGATCTGATTGAACAACAAACTCTCTACCATAAAGAAAGTGATGAAAACGTTCGTATGCAAAGACTATTGCCAGCGTTTCTTTTTCAATTTGGGCCCATTTTTGTTCACTGGTGGTGTGACTACGTGAGGCATATGCCACAGATTGGCCCCCTTGTAACAGAACGCTTCCTAATCCATCTTTCGAACTGTCAGTTTGTATGACCACAGGTTCTTTTGGGTCATATATTCGAAGCACTGGCTTTGTTGTAATGGATCGTAAAAGATCCTGTAACTCTTTTTCATGATCGTCACACCATGACCATTGACTAATGTTTTTAGTTAGTGCACGTAATTTGGCTGATCTTTGCGACAAATTTAGAATGAAGCGGGACAGATACTTAAATAATCCTGTAACGATGCCCCCTAAAATGGGCATCGTACCCGGCACAAACATCTAGCCTGTTGCCGTCGCAGTGACCAGTGGTCATTAGCGACGATGAGGGCGCGGTGCGCCCGATTATATTTTAAATAAATCCAAAAATAATTCGCAGGTACAGCAGCCGCCGTTAGAACCGCCAGTCTCGCCGGAAAGTGCCGACCGTCGTCGGGGACCGCCGATCGGAAATCTTCTCCCACGAGAAGCCGATCGACGGAAAATACCGCGACCGACCGAAGTATTACGAGCGAGACTGGCGGTCTAGTATAAGATACCGCGATGTCGAGCTGCGCGGGGCACTTTTGTCTCCGCCGTTCTCCTGCTATCACATCCGCTCACCAGATCCTAGCTCACGCTCCGATACCGCTCCAGTTACTCGCTCGTCCGACGAACCTGAGGGGTAGGGCGTACCTAAAGATCCTATATGGAGAGATGGGCCAATGCCGACTGATCCGTGATTGGCTCTGCCACGATGTTGTGAAACCGGATGTGAGAGTGAAAGAAGCGAATGTGAGAGTGAGAGGAGCGTCGTCTGCTTATGATTATAAGAAGTATTGTCAGAGACAAAAATTAACTTAGACGAGTCTCTTTTACAGTAAGTAAGTTTAAAATCATCAAAAATGTATCACTAGAACTTTTGGAAAAAATATATATATATAAATATATATAAAAATTCATTTATAAATACATACATACATTTTATATGTAAATTAACCTAAAATTGTTTTTTTTTTTCATTCTGGCAATTGACTTTTTGCCAACAATCTGCACAAACTCGAGATCGTATGATTTATTAAATCTTGTTAACTCACATTAAATATGAGGTTAGAAATCTGTGTTATTATGCGATAAGTTTTCACCAAATAAATAAGTAGTAAAGTCATTGTTTAAATATAAAATATTCATATCACTTCAGATTTCGTATCACTGTGTGTAAATGGAAAGCAACTTTTTTATTCGAATTTAATACGTTTTGCACGTTTTTGTCTATTTTGTCTGTTTTATCCACAATTCTATATTTACGAAAAATAAACTTTCTCTAATAATTATTCATTACAACTTTGAGTTAACAAAGTTATAATAAACAAGTAGTGTTACGTGATGTTTCGAAATTGGCGTTGATATATTAGCGCGCATTTCCAAGATCATGTGATTTCCGGTTTCACAACATCATGCCGGACATTGGCCCATCTCTCCATATAGGATCTCTAGGCGTACCCTGCCTCTGCCGGGCGTTCCCGGCCGCCGGACAACCGTTACCAATAATCAATCCCACCTTCCGCACCTTCTTTTCCGCATCCCGAAATTCCCGTCCTGGTACTTGGCATTAGAAAAGGGGTAGGGCGCTCCCTCTGCCTCTGTCGGGCGTTCCCGGCCGTCAAGTACCAGCTCCACTTCCCTTCCGATTAGTGCTTTCGATTTACGCATAGCGCCGCGAAATCACGCTTGCTGGCGTATACCCGCGTTCCGCCGCGTTGCGAACCGCCGTCGAGAAAACTCGCGACCGTCTGTAAATATCCCGCGCCGTTTAGATTTAGTTTCGTTGCATTGTCCGCGTCCGTTTTTTTCTTCGATTGTATATATATATTTTCTGTTATCCGTGCTCGCTTATTTCTTCGTTTGTATCGCCGTAAGTCGCGTCCGTTCGCTGTAATTATATTTCTATATGTTATATATTTTTTTTTATTATTATATTTTCATTGTCTCTTTGTTGTAATAAACTATGTTTGTCGTCCAATTATTACTTTCGTATTAGTTCCTTTCTTTTGCGATTTCCGAAGCTTCACATATTTTTCCGCCGCACCGCTCCGACGCGAATACTCCTCCCGCCGAACCTTTTTTATACGACACGCATTCCCGACGAGCTAGTCCGAGTATAAAAATTAGGTAGTTACAATCCTAATCGCATAACTTCAGGTTTACTTGATGGTCGAGGCATTTTAAGGATGGCATCTAAGTGTTTCGTATCAGGAGAAATATGACCATTGATTATGTGATAGCCCATGAATTTGACATCCGTTTGACGATATTGAATGTTTTTTGGATTAAATTTGAAGCCATTTTTGCGAGCTCCGTCCAGAACAGTAGTTAGTGCGCGATCATGCTCAGCCAGACATAATCCTGTGATGGCTAAATCATCAAAATAGATTTGAACACCTGGTATATCCCCGAAAATCTGAACCATTTTCCTCTGAAACATTTCTGGTGCACTACTGATTCCAAAAGAAACACGATTCCAACGATAACGCCCAAAAGGCGTCATAAAAGTGGTTAGGTCAGAACTTTTACGATCAAGCTCCAGCTGCCAGAAACCATTACTTAGATCAAGTATAGTGAAAATAGATTTACCAGATAGTTGGCCAATAATGTCTTCAGTTGTTGGTATTAAAAAATGCTCCCGCTTAATACATGCATTAAGTGCCTTCGGGTCAAGACAAATGCGTAATGAACCATCAGGTGTTTCTACTAACTGCATGTTATTTACCCAATCCGTAGGATAGTCTACTGTGCTAATGATACCTTGTTTCATCATTGACGATAATTGAGTTTTTAATCGTTTAACTAAGCTCAGTGAGATTCGCTTTTTATAGTGCAGTGTGGGGGTCGCATCGTCTCTCAATATAATTGATGAAGTTCCTGGAAATTTACCTAAACCCTCAACAGATCTTTATTTTCGTTGATGAGTACCTCAACGGTAGTAGGAAGATTGTGTTGTATTTCGATAGTATGAAGTCATTGAATTAAATTAAACGAAATACAAAATTCTAAGCCTAATAATAGTTCGCATTGATCACTAACGATTATGAATGACGCTTCATAACTTAACTTACGCTCAGAGTCAAAACATTCGATTGTGGCCTCGCCATAAACTTTTATTTTATTTGAATTACAGTTTGTTACAATAACATTTCTATGCATATTAATTGGTATGTTTAACTCGTTAATAAGACCGATTGGAATGCAGTTAACATCTGATCCTGTATCCAGTTTGAATTGAACATTTCGATTTTGTATACGTAACGTTTTCATTCATCTGATTTGATCTCCACCGGAATTAGAATTTACTCTATAATTATAATATTTATTTTTGAGAGAGGTACTTACACTATACGCATTGCTTTCTTGTTTGTTTGAGGCTACTTTAAAATTACTGTTACCTAGCTCATACCAGTTGATACTTTTAACAGATTTTTCTAATGACCTCTGACCTGCCATTGTTTCTGCTTTGGCGCTTGTAGGTTGTTCAGAGTTGACTTCTTTTTTCTAACTCTTGTAGAATTTGTGGAAGTGTCCTATTTTTCCACACTTATTACAGGTGACATTGAGTACTGGGCAATAACGACGATGTTTTCCATTATAAGGTTGACCACAATTCCAGCAGCTATTAATACGCTTAACTGTAGCGACGTCTGATGATTTTTCATTGAGTTGCTCCACGGATTTGACTTCTGTTGAGTTCCCTTGTTTACGGTCAAGTAATTGCTTGTGGGCAGTCGCAGCTTCGAAAGCTTTGCAAGTTTTTATGATTTTCGATAAGGATTCATCCTTACCATCCAACAATTTTAGTTGTAATTTCTTATCTTGCACACTGATGATGATACGATCACGTAACATGCGATTAGCGTATGATGTATGACAATTAGTGCATTCAAATTCACAATATTGCGATTGAGTGCGAAGCTCCGTTTCAAACGTACTAAACGATTGTTTTTCTTTGTGTATAATCATATTAAATTTGAATGCTTCCATTGTGATGTTTTTTTGTTGTAAGCAGTATTCATCATCATCAAAGGCTTTGATGACATCGTTTAATGTACGTTGATTAGTTATATTTAACTAATAATATATTGAAATAAGGGCAATGAGCCAATTTTCATTAAAATCTTTAAAATCAATCTAATATATTGCGAAGACTATCACGTAATGTTGGCGTTTCGTCCCGGCTTCCACTACTGGACTCATCAGTAAGGTATTGTAATGGAAGCCTACCTTAGACGCCTGTTTTAGTTATTAAATCGAGATTCTATATATACAGAAATAAGCGTATCAAAGCACTTACGAGAATCTTATATCTATAGACCTCTGATGGCGGGTCGACGTAGTAATATTCTTCGCAATATATTCTTCACAGTAATATATATATATATATGTGTGTATCCTTCCCACCCCCCCAACGCCCCATTTGCGCGCCGAACAATTGTCGGTCTTTAAACGCAATTCTATCTGAAAATACTAATATACACTGAAAATGACCCGATCGGAGTCGACACGTTTGGTCTTCCCGTTAATAATTCCAACCGCGAACATACTCCTACTGAGCTCCCAAAGCACATCGAATGCAACATTGACGGTCGTCCCAATA